TCGTCCTATTTATAGGAAATATAGGAGGATTTCTTTAAATATAGGCTCTTTATTAGCCTCCTTCGCAGCCGTTCAGAGTCGTCACGCAACGTTTCCCTAAGAACGGCTGCGAAGGAGGCTAGCTCTTTATAGGATCCTATACAAATTATAGGAAATATAGGATACATTGGAGGCCTGGGATGCCTGACATCAGGATATCATTGGTTGTTAGTGTGCATGCTAAACGATTAATAATGGTATTAGGACTGAGTGGAATCCAATTCGGTCTGTAATCATACGGGGAATATATAAACAACATTGGACGACCGCGTAGATAAATTAGTTATGATTATTGTCACGCAAACACGCATGATCGACACGAGTGAAAAACGTCTGCGCATGCTTTAAGTCTGTACACAAACTAGAGTCGACAACGTCTTCATGAGTGATGGGTTGCAAGCATTCCCAAGAGAGTCGAAAGACAAAAACATGGCGGCCATTTTGGAGCCGTAAACAATGGATGCTAATGAGAAATCTTTTGTCAAATGGCACCAACATGGCCGCGATGACGTAACGTGCAATTGAATAATTAAAAAGATATGCAAATTTGACTTACAACTGGAATAGATTTCATATAAAATACTAAAACTTAAAGTCGGTCAGTTCGTGAAACTTAAGGCTAATTCTTTCATGTTGTGTTTGTTAATACAGTATCTTGGCGTCACAAAACTATACTCAAAAACATTTTATTTATTAGGTGGAAACGAAAATTTTGTTTCCTTGGTAAAATGCTCTTTAACCCTATGAAAACGTGCTGAAATTTACGCATGCGTAAACGCTTTTCATTCGTGTCGATAGATCTAAAGAGTTTGTGCTTCCGAAGCTCCAAGGGTAAATTGTTTCATTCATTTAGAGAATGATAAAAAATCGTTGTTTAACTCAATTTCAATTAGCCTTGACTAAATTAACATTATCTTTCTGTCTATCGTTATAGCGATGAATCTTTATTTAGAGCAGTTTTCGTATGACTGTGAAAAACTCACGGCACAAACACGGTAGTGACACGGCAAGGCATTCTCCAGACCATCCAATCAAATACCTGGAACACGGCATAAACACGGCGCGGACAAGGTCACGACCAAGGTCAGACCAATCACATTGCGCGAGAGAAAAAATCAGCCAATTGAATTCTAGAAAACATCACGGTCACTGCACGGGACGCTTACTGCACTGAGCTTTTAACAGTCATGCGAAAACTACTCTAATTGTAATTCTAAATGCACTACGCATGCTCAAACTGTTGTTTGCACGCTCTTTTTGACCTGAGTCAGCACTCAAATTTGACATATGCATGTTTGAGTCAAATGATTAATACCATGTAGTGTAATCTTTGAATGTTCAGTAGAAATAATGAAAATAAACAATATTATGCACTAGACTGAGCTATTCTAGAGAGATGTTCATGATATGAAATATAGATGTTAGTGTATTAGAGGTATAGACCTTTTATCTGATAAGGTTACGTTTTCTCTGGTGTTTTGCATATTGTTTCAACTATCAACAAATTCATTATTGCTTTTTATGGTCCTTTTCATTGAAAAGCGTTAAAGTTATATAAAAGGACACCCTGACAGCTGTCTAGTCTGGGGGGGACTCTCTTGAAAAGTGGGTAAGGGGGCTCAACGGACGGTTTTGAAAATAACCCTAAAAGGTATGCATAAATTAACTGAGATGCTGATTTCAGACCCCAAAGGTACGATATATTTTTAAATGACAACGTTTCCAACCATTATATTCTTGTATGGCGTTTGATATTTTTCAAAACGAACAAATCTGACCCTAAAAGGTAAGGAGTCAGCCGGGAGTCAGCCGGGAGTCAGCCGGAATCCCTAAAAGGTATGCGAGGTCTCATTTTCGACACTAAAAGGTCCGTCGAACCCACCTACCCACTTTGCAAGAGAGCCCCCCCCCCCAGGGAATTAGCCTGTGAAACAAAGTTTTATAATTAGTTAGTAATAGTCAAAGTAAAACAAAAGAAAACAATTGAATATATTAGTGTCTACTACTAGTATTATGCGTACAATCTCGAGCCTAAGGCGAGAGTATGTCCATACTACACGCCAGGAATGTTATACTGTGTAAACGGCTCGCCAAATCAATAATTCACGACACTCAAGGGATTATCTGGGGCAATAACTGCATGCACTCTTTGTTTTAGATGGCGTTGATGGAATAATAAAATTTTCTAAATTCTGTGATATCTTTTTTTTCTTTTTGGCCATTGTTCCTATGCAAATGCAGTTGGCTTTGATTTTCATCTCAGTCTGGTTTGAGCTTCAAGATGGAAGCCGATGGAAGGAGTTACAAAACAATTTTGAGTATAGGAACAGAAACTTATAAAAAGTACGTACCGTTCCTAAAACACTCAACCCATTCGCGAGTGCTGATCTCAGGTTAGTAATCATCTTGAAGTTGATTGAACTTCTTCGATAAAAAATTGTTTGTAAGCTACTGCATCAATCTTAAAACCAAGGGAGAAGATAGGGAGCTGTGAAACTACTGCTGTTAGAAAAGAAAGAACGTTAGTACCGTGTCTTTTGAATACTCTATTTTATTGCGGAAAGTCGTTTTGTATTTTTGGCGAAAGTATTTACAATACTTACTATGGCGGTATTTCTGATTTGAAGCACAGATTCGATTAGCATATGTGTGTCATGAATTAGGAGAGACCCCGCCATTCTCTCTGTTTATGCAAAATTCATTTTGCCTGTAGGTACAATGAAAGATTGTGCCCAGAGTGTCTTGAAGCATTTTATTTTAGACCTGCTCGTGATAAGGTCTTTTAGTCATGAAAAAAGTCCAGTCTGGAAAATACATCAAATATATCACGGTAGTTGTATCTTACTCAAATAAATGCATACTTTATTATTTCATCCCTTTTGCAGGACTTTTCAGAAGCAGTTACAAACTGAGTTTAAACCTAAGAAAAATTATACAAATATATAAAACTAAACTGATAAAATATAACAATGATAACTCGATATACAAATACATTATAGGTAAAAGCCTAAACTTATAAATCACTAAAGTTCTGATTAATATCTATCTAATTATTAAGAAATTCATTCAAAAGATTTTTTCGCATTGCATACTTGAAAATCTGCACATCTTTACAAAGCTTAAGCTGGCTGGACCTCCTCACGCTTGACCGCTACCTTCCACGTTTGGAACGCTGGTGCATAAATGTGTTTTATCTGATTGCAAATCTTTTTTGCACGTAAGTCACATAAAGATTGAATTAATGTTTGATGCAGTTTTTAGTGAGATCGGACGTCATAACACGTGATTATGATGAAATATTTGTTTTCGTTTAGAAAACAATTTTAGCCTTTCAGAGCGTTCAACACTAAAATGCTTCGTACCACATAATTATATACTAGATGCCTCCATGTTATACCCGGTATCTAGTCTTAAAAGGAACATTTTGAAGGTAATAGACTTATGCGATTTTGTGAAAACGTATAATGCATAAGACGGGGTAAACATTTGATGCGCACTTTTCATCGCAGTGTTCTAGTCAATCTTACTTGTTTGCTAATGATCTAAACATCAAATTCTTTCGCGCCCTGCACGGTCTCATCTCGCTTGGCTGCTTTCCGACTTACTTCCGAAGTATGATAATAAACAGTTTATTATCATTATTGTTATTATTCAAACGTGGGACGTTTGTCCTGCTGTACTTTGTCAGTGTGAGTGAATAGAATCGGCGAACATGCCTCAAATAAAAATTGTGTGACTTATCTCGAAGATAATTTTATCTCCTTTAATGTTTATTACTATACTTCGTGAGTAAATCGGAAAGAAGTCAAGCGAGATGAGATTGTGCATGGTGCGAAAGAATTTGATGTTATGATCATTAGCAAACAATGGAATTCCCAGAGCATCAAATCGATGAGAAATGATCAATGTTTTCTGTATTTCTCGTTCGCTTTAGATCGCTTTAAATGAGTTCAATAGTCTTGCAATTTTGTGTAATATTAGTTTAAGTTCTAATTTGTATCCTGACGTAGTTTTGAGAGAAATGATCAACGAATTTTAGAATGATGGAAGATCTTGTTAGATTGACTAGAAAACTGCGATGAAAAATGCGCATAAAATGTTTACTCCGTCTTATGCATTAATAATGCATAATGCACCCGATATATTGACATATTGATATTCATTTTATTTACAGAATTTTTGCAAAGCGCTATATATATATTTATATATATAAGAAATCTGTGAATCAATTTTCCGTAAAACAGTGCTCAATACATCGATAGAAGTAGAGCAGAATATTTGTTTGAGAAGAAAAAGTCAAGACAACATTTTTCCCGACAAGCCTGTTTCGTGAATTGCTTCACTCTTCAGGGGATTTAATGATAAGAATATTCGTTACTATCATTTATATAGAAAAAGTGTACATAATAACAAGCGCATTTTACATCCACCGAGAGACGACAACGACACCGCAAACAACACAAAGGACAAGAAAACATGCAACTGCCGAAAAAAGAACAATTGCCCGCTTAATGGCAACTGCCTCCAATCATCAGTTGTATACCAAGCCACCGTCACAAGAAAGGACAACAACACTACCGCAACATACATAGGACTCACAGAAAACGACTTCAAAACACGATACAGAAACCACACCGCCTCATTCCGCCACGAACAACATAAAAACTCGACTGAACTCAGCAAATACATCTGGACTCTCAAGAACGGTAATATCAGCTACTCCATTT